CTCAGAGTTTTCCAAGAATGAGCCTCAAAGGAGTACACAAGTACACATTTATTATTTAATTTCTCTACTTCATTTTTTTCTTTTAACCTCTTTTGCATATAAGCCTTCCTCACAGTTTACTGTAATCTCCTTTAAATCAATAAAATGATTTATAAAATCTTTATATGCAATCTCCAGTTATCTTTGATCTACTCACACATTCCTCCATAGAGTTCTCAATCTTCATGCTTCTAATGAAATTTTGCTCTTTATTTCCACTTAGTTCACTTGCTTTGAAGAGTTCAGATTCTCTGGGGGTAACAGTTGTACCCAACAGCTATGCGTTAATCTTGATAGCACCAGTTGTCAAAATATAGAAAAATGCCCAGTAAGACAGATTGCCCATTATCTCATGCAAATGTGGAATCTAAGATGTCAAATATACAGCAGGATAGACTTGTGGTGCCAGAGACTGAGGGCTGGGGGTTTGAGGAGATGTTGTTCAAAGGAGGTAAACTTTCAACTGGACAAAAATAACATATTCAAGAGATCTACTGAATACATAGTTCATAAAAATGTATCACACACTTGAAAATTACTAAAAGGCTACATTTTAAGTATTCACACCACACCTGAAAAATAAGTAAAAATAAGTAAGTATATGTATGTTAGCTTGATTTAGCCACATTTTAAAACATTATGGATGACACCATAAAGATATGTAATTTTTCTTTATCGACCAAATATTTTAATTAAAACATAAAAAGAAATAACATTTAAAAATATATATACAAAAATCCCCATCCTGGTGTGTAAATAGATGGTATCACTGCAAATGCTGCCCCAAATCCCTAATTCTGACCATAACTTCTGCCTTACACACACTGTAATAATCTAGAGACCAAAAAGCCACAGAAGGAATTCTCAACACAATAGTTGCAAACGTCCTTATGGTGATGAAGTAGATGTCATGGAGGCTGACCAAAGACACCCTCCACCCCAGCAATCCTCATGCAACCCTTTGTGGGAACTGTAGCCTTCACAGGACTTGGGTCCTGAGAGAACAAACAACTACAGTAAAGGGGCACGAGTTAATGAGGATGCTCCAGGCAGGCACTAACCCAATCTTATGGACTATGCTGGCACAGGTCACTCCTGGCCACAAGAAAGGCTTCTTGGAATGAAAATGGCCCATAACCATGACTAGGAACAAGAAATGGCAGGTCCTTGTTTACAGTGATGGTACAGATTTCACCTCTAGTTGGGGAAGATCATGACAAGCCAACAGTATCAGCTTACCATGGGCATAAAACATTAATTATATTAATTAAAAAATGAGAACCAAGAATACTATAGCACTTATTTGTGTCAGACACACTCTTCACATAGGTTTAACTTGTTTGATTACTAAGTCTTACGTCACTAACCTCAATTTATGGAAGAGAAAATGGAGGAAGCACACATAGCTAATTTTGACTTGGTGCAAATCTAGGCATAAAATCCAGACAGCCTAGTCATGAAATTCATAGTCCACTGAATCCGTGTGATACCTGGGTTAAAATGTCATGCTTGGTCTAAGTAAATGTGATATTCCAGTAGCAATTTTTCTTTTATTACTAGAGGAATAATAAAGATACTGAGAATGCAAACAGCTCAATCAAAATTATAAGGGTGAGAAATAAACAGACTATAGTGTTCCTAAATTCAGTAGCAGATGCACCATGAATAAGCTTGTTCATTTTATTGGCATTATCTAGTTATTTGGCATAGATTTGCCTAATAAGAATTTAATGAGAAAGTCATCGATAATGTTTGACATAGATATCAGTGTGAAATATGACTCAGAGAATGCTTGTTTACTTATAGATAACTACAACACATTAATATCATAACATTTTAAACAACCTGGAGATTTTTATGCATCATTTTTATAACTTTCACTGTTAGTTATATCATTTTAAAAACAGTTTTATTATTGAAAATTAGATATATACTGATATTTTACAAAACCAAAGGATGTGGGCTATGTGCGTAATTATATCTTTAGTTCAATATTAATTTGCATTATTAGAAATGTTGCTTTTTTAAATTACTACCCTTCATTGGGATAAATTCTGTCATCTGAAAATGAATATTTATTCAAAATTAAATAATTTATCTGCTTGGTTAATATGTGATGTTGATTATGTGATTAATAAAAGAGTAGAATGTGCATAAAAATAATAAAGATTCCTAGTGACTGATAAAAAGAGAGAGAAATAAATCTATCATAGTGACAATTTAAAACTATCTCTGTAAATTATAAATCACATACACAAAAATAAGAACACAATCAATTTGACACCATGTACAGATATGTATATATATATTACATACATGTGCTATTACAAAGTTACAACTATTTTAAATTGCACATGAACTTTATGGGCACTCTGAATAGATATTGTGTCTCAAAAACTGAAAACTACACATTATTTTGTAAAAATTGAGCTTTTGACTATGTCATAAAAACTAACAAATTGTTCAAAGATTTTATATTATAAAGACCATGTTTTATAAACACAATAAAAATACACATTACTTAACAAATCATAACTATAAAACTATACATCTAATAATTCAAATGAAAAGCTCTAGATGACCCATAGCTCAAAGAAAGAATCTTAATGGAAATTAGAAAATATTTATAATAGAATTAAAATGAAATGAAAAGTACATTGGCAATTAGTTGAACAAAGTTAAGTTTGTATATTAGATATCCATTACAATAAATGATAAAATGAAAAGCAAAATAAATACAAAGAAATTGGAGAAATGGAAATATACAACAAATCATAAATTAATAAAAAAGTAATTATACCTAAAATAATAACATCAAATATCATTTTTAATAATAACATTGGAAAAATTCTGGCAAGATAACAAAAGATTTATAAACCTTTATCATTAATAATGTATGCAGAAAAAATCAGTTAGAAATTAGAAAATGTATGACTTGGCGCCTGTGGCTCAGGTGGCTAGGGCGCCAGCCACATACACCTAAGGTGGTGGGTTCAAATCCCCAACCCGGGCCCGCCAAACAACAATGATGGCTGCAACCAAAAAAATGGCCAGGTGTTGTGGCGGGCGCCTGTGGTCCCAGCTACTTGGGAGGTTGAGGCAGGAGACTCGCTTGAGCCCAGGAGTTGGAGGTTGCTGTGAGCGTGATGCCATGGCACTCTACCCAGGGGGATAGCTTGAGGCTCCGTCTCAGAAAAAAAAAAAAGAAAAGAAAAGAAATTAGAAAATGTAAATACCTAAGATATTTCACCTATAATATATACATGATTTATTGTCAAGTGATTATGGAACATTAACTAGCATTGAACATGTGTTGTCCATAAAGCAAAGCACAGCACATTCTTTTTTTTTTTTTTTTTTTTAGCACATTCTTAAAAACCACTATGGACAGAGAATATTTTATCAATATAGAAATCAATAACAAATGATAAATTTAAAATCTTGATATATTTGTTTGGAAGTTAAGCATTGCAATTTAAAATAATTCATGTGTCAAATTAGGTGATGTGGTTCATGCCTGTAATTCTAACACTCTGGAAGGCTGAAGCAAGTAGATTGCTTGAGGTTAGGAGTTTGAGACCAGCGTGAGCAAGACCAAGACCAAGACCCTGTCTCTACTGCAAAAAAATTTAAAAATTAGCTGGATATTGTAGTGGGCATCTGTAGCCCCAGCTACTCGGGATGCTGAGGCAAAAGGATCTCCTGAGCTCAAGAGTTTTAGGTTGTTGTGAGCTAGACTGACCCCATAACACTACCCAGGGCAACAGAGTGAGACTGTTTTAGTAATCATCATCATCACCATAATTTAAAAATTCATGTATCAATAAAGAAATACCAATGAAAGTTTTAAAATATCTTGAAAACAATGATAATAAAATTTCAACTTGTTAAGCTTGTTGGTACTTTTGAGGAAAATTTATTGATGGATAGATAAGTAGAAGTTCAATATCATCATATGATGGTGTTTGCATTCTCAGGGATTCAAATAAAGACGTATTAAAGAAAAATTTGCAGCCATAGATTATAGCTTTTAAACATATATACTAGGAGAAGAAATTATTACCAATCTCCTGTAATTAAGAAAAAATGGAGACTCTTCAAGGTGGCAGTCTAGTAGCAGCCCCTTTAAGCCTCTCCTAACAAATGTGGAGAGAAATGTGAACAGGCACTGCTGTCCATACCTGCTCAGAGACAGCACTGTGAAGGCACAAAATGACTGTGTAGGACACTAGGAATAGAGGGGAGAAGCAGGAAACGAAGTTCAAGGGGGAAAACAGGTAAAGAAGAGATGAGTGGCACAGAGGCAGAGACTGCATGTAGTGATATCACTGTGTGATCTGGGCCACTGGGAGGTCAGCACCATCCCCATGGTCTCCTGCAGGGTTTTTCTGGAGAATGATCTGAATCCTGTATAAACTGGCCCCACCAGCCAGCAGATGCAGAGGAGAACGGCAATGGCCAGGGCCTCTCAACCTGTCAGGTGCACCCTGCCAGTCTTGTTGGGGTTGGCTGGGGAGTGAATGGATTCATCCAATGTATTGTTAGGTCTAAAGAAAACAGAATTCAGAAGATTTTATAGTATATATTACTGGAGTGAAGGTGAGATTTGTGTGTGTGTGCATATATGAATATATTACACATATATATGCGTGTGTGTATTTGACTTGTAATAAATATCAGCATCAAAAAAAAGCAAAAAAATCATTGCATACAAGTAATAAGGGGGAGAATCAGGTAGATAAGGATGAGGTGAGAATGAGAATTCTCTAGCAATGCTCCAAAGCCTCAATGTGTCAGGCCTAAGCACATCTATATTAATAACTAGCTAGTATATTTCCTTCCAGTTTAGCCAAAGATCATCAGCACCATGGTTCCAGGTAATCCCAAAGATAAGCACATAGTTGCGACAAACCAGTTCAAATAACTCCACACATAACATGAATGTTGGAAAAGGAATGCCCCTATTCTTTCAGAAAAATCAGAACATTCTGCTTTGTCAAGAGCTTTCTTGCCATTAGTTTCTCTAAACCTGTCTTCATGGCCTTGTTTCTTAGGCTATAGATGATGGGATTAAGGGAAGGGGGCAACACAACATAGAAAGCAGATAGAATGAGATCAGTGGATGACTTAGACCCTAAAATAGGTTTCAGGTAAGCAACAAAAGCAGTGGAAAGAAAAAGTGCAACAACCGCCAGGTGTGGGAGGCAAGTGGAATAGGCTTTGGACTGCCCTTCTGTGGACGGAATCTTTCTGACAGTGGAGAAGATGTAGACGTATGAGATTATGATGCAGATAAAGCAGCAGATATCCAGGACCCCATTAATGAGAATGAGCACGATTTCTGCAGCTATATGCTCCGAACAAGAAATAGCCAACTGCTGAGGAATATCACAGAAGAACTGGTGGATCTTGTGGAGTTCACAGTAAGATAAAGAAAAGGTACTCGCTGTGTATACAGCCGATATCAGTCCACTGCTGAGCCAGGTCAAGGCAGCCATCTGCACACATGTGCCCCTGTTCATGATGGCTTCATAGTGCAGGGGGTGACAGATGGCAGCATATCGGTCAATGGACATCACTGTGAGGAGGAACAGTTCTGCAGCTGCTGCAAAAGGCACCAGAAAGACCTGGGCAACACAGCCGAGGAATGAGATGGAGTTGCGGTGAGTGAAGGAGTTGGCAACAGTTTTGGGCACAACAGCAGAGATGAGGCAAAGATCGAAGAGAGCCAGATTTCTTAAGAAGTAGTACATGGGTGTGTGCAGGCATGGGTCCAAGGAGGTGACGGTAAAAATGAGACCATTCCCTGTTAAGGCTGCCAGGTAAATTGCTATAAAAACCCCACCTTGTAAAAACTGTAGCCTCCATGGGCCAGAAAAACCCAAAAGAAGAAATTCTGTCACCACTGAGATATTCTTCATTCTTGATGAAATATTCTGCATTAAGAAAATAAGATTTATGATTAAAAGGGTCAAGCAGGCCATGTATTCTTATTTAATACTCAGCACATATTCAGCAATGTGCATGTATATGTGGGGTGGGGGGCGGTCAAAAAATTGGTTTAACAGGTGGAGCCCATAGCTCAGTGGGCAGGGCGCCGGCCACATACTCCAAGGCTGGAGGGTTCAAGCCCAGCCTGGGCCAGTTAAACAACAATGACAACTGCAACAAAAAAATAGCCAGGCATTGTGGCAGGCACCTGTAGTCCCTGGGAGGCTGAGACAAGAGAATCACTTACACCCAAGAGTTTGAGGTTGCTGTAAGCTGTGATGCCATGGCACTCAGGGTGAGGGCAACATAATGAGACTCTGTCTCAAAAAAATTAATTAATTAATTTAAAAAATAGCTTTAACAGTAAATTTTTTTCAACAACAACAAAAAATCCAGTTTATTGGTCTCATATGTTCCATATGTACTCTGTTTTATCAAGTTTCTCTTTATAAATATCTAAGTATTATAATACTATGCAAGACATACATACAAATTGTTTACAGGAACATAAGACAAAGCAACTTGTGACTCAGAGAAGGACCTATTTTATGTTATTTTAAATGTATAGAAAATGAAGCAAAAGACGTGGACTATCCAATATTCCTAGGCCATGGCCTATTTCCATTTCTTTGCTTTGCAATTATTGTTTTTCAACCAATTCATTTCTTTGAATTATAAGTAATTTTTTTGATATTTCTATTTAAAATTAGCTCTACAAAATATGAGGCACTCTTCTCCCTACTCTACTTTAAAATGTTGTGAGATTTTTGCATTGTTTTCATAATTGCTTAAATGTCATATTCTCACAGTTTTCTTCCTTGGGGTTTCTATACTTTCTCCTTGGCACTCTCATATCCTTTCAGTTCTCTGATCTTCATCTTCGTAGGCAGTGTTTTTCAGCCTTTTATCTCACAGCACACTTGGATCTATAATTCAATGTCTGTGCTACTCTTAAATTATATTGCTCAAAAAGGAGTTAAGAAAAGTACATTCGGTGGTAAAGTCTCCATTTTTCTTTATGGCTGCATAATATTCCATGTTATACATATACCATAATTTATCGATCCATTGGTGAATCAATGGGCACTCGGGCTTCTTCCATGACCTAGCAGTTATGAATTGGGCTGCAATAAACATTCTGATACAAATACATGGATAGAGCTGAAAAATGTTCTTCTTAGCAAAGTATCTCAAGAATGGAAGAAAAGTATCCAATGTACATAGCCCTATTATGAAACTAATTTATAGCTTTCATATGAAGGCTATAACCTAATTATAGCCTAGGAATATGGGGAGGGGGAAGGGGGGGAAGAAGGGAGGGGGTGGATGGCTGGAGGAAGGGGTGATTAGAGGGATCACCTCTATGGTTTATCTTACAAGAGTACAAGTGAATCTTTCTAAAAGTAGACTATAAATGTCTTAACACAATAGCTAAGAAAATGACATAAAGGCTATGTTAACCAGTTTGATGAAAATATTTCAAATTGTATATGAAAACACCACAGTGTACCCCATGATTGCATTAATGTACACAGGGATGATTTAGTAAAAAAAAAAAAAAAAATTGGCAGTTGGTCAGCGCCAGGGTTGGGCTGAGGCTTAGTGGTACCAGGAGGCGCTGGTAAGCTACGCCCGAGTTGGTGCGGCCCCAGCCCGCAGCCGCTCCACCCTGGCCGATCCCGGGTCCCACCTGCAGGCCCCGTGGCGCCTTCTGCTTGGCGGGCTGGTGGCGAGGCTGCGGGGTTGCGGGGTGGGGTGGCGAGGCGGGGTAGCACTCGGCCCCCGTGGAGAGGAGGGCTGGGGTCCCAGGTGTTGGAAGCTTCCGGGTGGGTTGGAGGGGTCCAAGCCTGGAGAGGCGTGGACGGAACCCGCTGTCATTTATTTCCCTGCGATTGGAGTCGACATCAGCGCTGGGGAAGGGGAAGGACAGAACTCTGAGGTGAGCTGTTGGAAGGACAGGTTTTCCCGAGTGCTGCCTATGCCTGGCTGTGGCATTTCCTTATTTTCTGACGGGTCCTTGGTTCCCTGACAGATGAACTTTTGTTTCACAGGGCAAAAATTTGACATAACTGCATAAGAGTTGCTGATTGCAATTTAAGAAATTTCATTGTATTTTCTGAAAACTTTTTCTGTAACAATACCTAGGCTTTTACTACGTTCTTATGTTGGCTTAAATACGGAGATAACAAAGAGTTGATTTGTTTTCTTGGGGCTTATAAATTTAGTTCCTTGAAAACAGAAGTATCATTGTCAATTTCTTTGCAGATTAAAAAAAAAATTGTAAGAGAAATTAGTTCTGTAATAATCACCAGTTTAGAACTTACAAGAATTCTGAGAAACCAGTCCATTTAATAGCTTAAACTTGGGTAAAATTGTTTTTGTTTAAACCTGCATCAGATGTGAATTAGAACTTTATCCATCGAGGTTTTTACTTGGCTAATAACTAATATTAGCTGATAATAATATTAGCATTGTAAAAATAATGATGGTCAGTTTTTATTTTGTGCTTTGTGTGCTAAGCACTGTATTAAGAACTTTGCTTTGGGACAGATATTATCCCCATTTTGACAGTGAGGATACTGAGGCACAGGGAAGTTAAATACTGTAAGGTATCAAACACAGCTAGTATCACTGGAACTCATGCAGGCTGGCTCCCTGCTTTTCATTATGCTACTCTACTGCTACTTTAGATGCGGGTCTTTACAAAGTGCTTTCATTTCACTTCTTCTTTGGAGATAGATGTGTGAATGTGCCTTTGCATTCACACACCTTCATTCACACACCACTCGGGTTCTGTGCTCTTGTTGACCATACTTCAGTTTTGTGCTTGAACAAAAAAATCCATTGCATATTTTAAGATAAATGGAGTTCAAGGTTCCTGTGGTTTTATTTCTTTATTTGCTGATTTATTTTTGTAATAGGATCTCTGTGGCCCAGGTTAGAGTACAGTGGTGTCATAGATCACTGCAACCTTAAATTCCAGGGCTGAGATCAAGCTATACTCAATTCTTGTGCCTCAGCCTCCTAAGTAGCTTGGACTAGCATGGCTCTTCTCTTCTCTTCTCTTCTCTTCTCTTCTCTTCTCTTCTCTTCTCTTCTCTTCTCTTCATCTTTCTCTGACAGAGTTTTGCTCTGTGGACACTGGTAGAGTACAGTAGTCGTCACATGTCACTTCAGCCTCCAACTCCAGGGCTCAAATGATCCTCCTGTCTTAGCCTCCCGAGTACTTGGGCCTATGGACAAGGAGCTGGGACTGCAGGTGCACATCACGACACCCAGCTGATTTTTCTATTTTTTGTAGAGACTTTTGTGAGGGCTGGTCATAAACTCCTGACCTCAAGCAATCCTCCTGCCTCACTCCCCCGGTGCTGGGATTACAGGTGTGAACCACTGGGCCTAGCCATAATTTATATTTTCAATTTAGTTTTATCATTTCCTGAAAAAAGAACATTCTTAATCTGCTTTAAACTTATTTCCAAACTAATTTAATTAATGATCTTTCAACATTTTTACGACACATCTAAGATCCTCAGATGGCACACTAGTTGAACATCACTATTCTAGCATCATTTAATACATTCTTGAAATCATACACACAGATAGGTAGATGGATGATAGATGGATAAGTAGATATGAAGAGATGATAGATACACATGTACACATATCTATGCTTATCAAGCTTTAATTTAAATACTGATACACAATATAAAAAGAAAAGCCAAATTTCTATCTCTAAATCTACATTTTCTTTCTCTCTATTCTAATTGCTAATTCTCTATTTCCAACATACTGATTGACAGTTTACTTGGATATGCTAACTTCTCAAATTTCTTGTCTAAATGTAACTCTATATTAAATAAAATATTGCATATAATTCTCTACTAGATTTAAAAACTATAAACCTTTTGGAATAAAATAAAAAAGCATGCAGGTAGATCTACACAGATATATAAATTTAGAAGAGAGTACATTTGCATATCAAGATGCATATCTATCTATCATCTATCATCTTATCTGAGCATGTTTCTGATATTATAATTTTTTAATACTAAAGTTTAGGTCCTTGTCTGAAAGTATCTGTGACTTACCTTTTTTGGCTTAAAGATTGACAATCTTTCCATTCATTTAAAAATCCATTAATTAGATTGACTGACAATGCATAAATGAAGTGTCATTGTTTAGGAAATGTGAGCAAGCAAATTCAGCCTAAAATGCTGACATAAGCAAAATGTCCTTCTTTTAAAAGTATGGAGTAAGCAGTAACAATCACTTTATACAGTTGTTTTTCACTTGCTTCAGTGCACAAATTTAAATACTCCTTTGTTGGTTCGGCACCTGTGATTCAGGGGCCAATGCACCGGCCACATACATCAAAGCTGGCAGAGCTGGTGGGTTCAAATCCAGGCTGGACCTGCCAAACAACAAAGACAACTACAACCAAAAAATAGCTGGGTGTTGTGGGAGGCACCTATAGTCCCAGCTACTTGGGAGGCTGAGGCAAGAGCATTGCTTATGCCCAAGAGTTTGAGGTTGCTGTGAGCTGTGATGCAACAGCATTCTACAGACGGTGACATTGTGACACTCTGTCTCAAAAAAAAATACTCCTTTGTTTAAGATTTGTAATTCCTTTATGATATGTTTTCATTTTTGGAAAAATGTTCCTTAATTTTATCCTAATATCATATTTCTTTTATATATAATCATTTTTTAATTATTTGAATAATGTAGATTTATAAAAATAAATGAACATAGAAATGATAGTGATTTGGTACCTGTAGTGATTGAGTAACTTTGCTTTCATACTGAATTGTAAGAAAACCACTTAAAATTGGTCATTTAAAGAAAATATCTGATAGTTAAGAAGTTTACTACAGTAGTAAAGAGATCTCTCCCGAAGTTTTATAATGGGAAATCTCTGTATAGGCTGTAT